AATCCTAATCTCAATTTGAAAATTGATATTGAAGAACGAAGACTGTTCCTTGAAGAGAAACAAGCAGATACGTTCACAGGGATTCTTCAGCATTTGGACAAACCTGCTGAAGACATTGAGAAGATCACAGAGTGCTATGCATTCTTGCAACAACAACAACAATTTATCAACAAAAAACAAAAGACAAAGGAAACAGTAAATTACATTTTGTCAAACATAGTTCTTTATCTTCTGAAACCCAAATCTAAACATGTGAAGAGTAACAGTGACCTTTCTGCTCTACTTCTGACAACTCTGCAAGATATTGGACTTAGCTATCACTTCCCAGATCCATACTATCTGGCTCTGCTGTTATTCTGGCCAAGTCCTACTCAGAAAAACACAGAAATTGGGGCATATGTGAGAGCAATCCGAAACTCCTCTCACAAGCGCCTGACTTTATTGTTCAGAAACAGGAGCACCGTTGCCCACCTCTACTTGGGGAAAGCAGAAGGACTCAAGAGGCTTGTTTCCAAACCACAACTTGATGAGAATTTTAAAAAGATGCACCGCAACACCTTGGCACAACTTTGGCGGAATGGAGACATATTTAAAGACAAAGCAATTATCAACCGCCTACATCGAGTCAGTGGAACCATTGAGCAAGGAGAGGTGTTTGCCAATTATGGAAAAATGAAAATCCCTGTGCGTCCAGCTCTCATTGCCGGTATAAGAAGTGGTTACAGTACAGAAAAGGTGTCTTTCTACCTTGGTTTTGCCATTAATGGACCTCTTGCTTATGATATCCAGTATGAAAACTAGGAGAGTAAATTAAACAAGTGTAATACAGCACTGACATGTGAACTGTACGGAGTGAAAACTAGGTGCGGCAGCCACTGACTCACTGTGGAATTTTAAACACCTCATAAAAACACACAAGTGAATGATAAAGGAAATTAAGTCAAATTGCAGGCATCAATCTAGCTGTATGTGTATTTTAATATATTTGTATTTTAATAGAATTTCATAATTTAGAAACATTTGTTATTTACTTTCTGAGAGGTTTTTGCTTTTGTCTCTACAGAGTGACAAGGTGTGGTGGCCAGTAACCATACTAGCCATAAAAACCCATGAGCAAATGATAAAACAGATTGCAATAATAAATGGTAAATCATGTAGTACTAGCTGTATGTGTATGTTTTTATATATTTTTTAATGTCTTTAATCTTTTAGAAACATTTGTTATCTACTTTCTGAGACGTTTTTGTTTTTGTTTTCTGTTGCAGATGTGGCACATTCACCAAGTGTGCAAGTGCAAATATAATACAGTTAAGAGTGCAACACAGGCACATGAGACATGACATAATGATAACTCAGACAGACTTCAGGGTAAACTACCGATCCTGTAGCTCTAGCTGTGTATGTTTTTATTTTGTGTAATTTCATCTTTTACAAACATTTGTTTGACACTTTTGTTGTTTTATTTTTGTTGCTGTTTGTTCACCAGATTGAGACTGACCAAACTGCCTCATAGGTATGCTTCACTTTTTTGTTGGGATTATTAAATTATTGTAACCTTGGCTTTGTAGACATTTGAAGTATGATCTAATTGGATCTATGATGAATGCTTTGCTCTGATGATCTGTAGTGGTAGTTTGATTTTCTTTACCTGGTAGTAATTAAGGCCCTGATATACTATACAAAAATATAATGTGGATGGAGTTCTGCACATACAACTGTGAATGCAACAGAACCTCTCTTCATAACAAGTGTCCCAGCCCAATTTACATCCAATGTAGAAAAAAGGGCTTAAAACTTTTTTGTT